TTGTTTTAATTATTGTACTATTTGCGCTTGTAAGAAATTCATTGATAGAATTTTCCACTTGTTTTAAAATGTTTAACGAGTCTACAAGTGATAAATTTAAATTTTTCAGCTTTTTGAAGGTTTAATTTAAGCAAAATCATACATCAAACATAATTTATTTACAATTTTTAATGTTTTTTGCTTCAACATCCAAGTTTTTTTATTAAAATATGTATGAATATCATAATATGCAAAAAATAATTCTATGAACAGTTATCTACTTTCTCTCTTTTTAAAATTTTAATAAATAATAACATTGAACAATTATAATATATTTATATTGATCATTCTGGATTTAAATGTAACTTCACTTATTAATTAGGTAGATTCATCATACGTTTAAACAAATATTTTAATGCACCCTTAAATAAACATGTAATAGTATAGTACTAATAGTTATTTACTTCAACTGTTTTTTTAGGGCAAATGCAAATATGAATTCTATTGATGAACATCAAATATTTACAATATCTGATAGTGATGATGATGACTCTATCATCATAACTGAAACGTCAAAAACACAAACTGAAAATGAAAATATTATTATTGATTTGATTGATTCAGATGATGATACCCAAAACTTSAGTGTAAAATATAAGCCAGGTCCAAAATCAAAAACAAAAAGTGTTTCTATACCGGATATCACAATCAATGATAATGATAATGTATTGCCAATTAATACAGAAGCCAGCAAATCTTTAAATAATGGAAAATGTTTATCCACAACTGTTCGTAAACGGAAACCTGGCCCAAAATCAAAGACAATGTTTGTTGATGATATAGTTYCTGAAAATAAYGAAACTGTTGAGAAAAAAAAGCGTTTAAACGAGTGTGATGATATTAATAACAAAGAGTCGAATTCAAAAAATGTATTAAATGATAATTCTGTAAAAAAAAATTAGAAGTTCCTGAAAAGTATAATCATAATTTTCTCCTCAAGTCTTCAAATTTAAATTATCCACCATCTTATCTTTCAATACCACCTCATAATAACCAACCTTCATGAAAAAACATGCCACCAATACCTAATATGACAGTCAAAACTTCAGAAACTAAAGTGAGATTAACTTGGAACTTAAATACGAAAAAATAGGTGTTATAAAAGCAGATAATATATTTTGTCTATAGCTTGTGAACTAAAAGTTTTTGATTTTTATCATTTTGCTCTGATAATTATGGATGTCCAAAACGGACGAGCACCTTTTGCTCTACAACTAAGATTTAGATTATATATTTGTAATAAGTATTTTTTGTTTATTTTTCATTGTAACTGAATTATAAGCCAATGGGTTAAATATTGTAAAATTATAATTTTAAAGAGTTGATAAATCTTTCTTTTTTTTTTTAACAATAAAGTATGCCACTTGTCACTTATTGAATTTTTTCTATTGTAAAATTTTGTCAGTTCATATTTATGGTTCATATATATAAGTACTAGATTCAATATTACATATACTTTATATTTTTGTAATAGGTTTTTTAAAACCATTTTTAGGACTATTGTAATGTAACATTTTAATACGGTTGAAAATACACTGAATTTATAATTTAATATATCAATATTTTCAAAAAAGTTATTCTCATAATTTATTTATAATTACAGGAAGCTACTTAAGTAGTTCCGAAAACCTCAAGCTTAAAAATATGGAAAAATCAGATCTTGATTAAATGCATAATTTAAGAAAAAAGTGAGCTTATGATCATCAGGCACAGAATGATAATCAAATTTAAGCTGGATAAATATATCAAGAGAGTCACCAACTGAAACTGCAAAATCAGTAATAATACATGGGTTATTAGGGTATTATAAAATATTGATTTAAACAATTTGAGTTACTTTTCATTTTTCAATTCAGGTTTTAAAAACAAATGTTTGACAATTTCATAAAACATGAACTACTTTTTTCAGGCAAATTTGAATATAGTTAAAAAAATATAAATATACATAACAACTATATAACATTTTAATAATATTAATGGATAGAATCATTGAAATAATTATTTAATTATTTTGTGGTTATTAGACAAAAAGATTCTATTGTTTGTTCTTTTTTTTAGGACGGTCACTAATGATATATTTGGTTGATGCCCTTCATACTCACTTTATTTTAAAAATAGAACTCAATAGAAAACATGTTGAAAACAGTAATTTAAAAAGAGAAACTTTTAGAAATTACTTTATTGTAGCATATCTCAATTTGGACGAAAACAATTAGAAGAAACAGAAATTGTTTTATTTGTCCTTTGTATATATTATTAT